CTAAAATACTCGATATTTTTTTTTTTTTTTTTTTTTTTAAGCTGGGAGAAATATTTCTCATAATTTTTTGAGGTATTGGTAAATCCTTAGCAGGTTCTTGTACACTGTTACTTTGAGCAATGAAGCTCTGAATAATTTTGTCCAGAGGGAATTTTGACCTAAGCTGCAAAACCACATCTAGGAACTTGGTACAGGAGCACCATCTTATTTGAAACTGTTTGTTTTTCAGCTGACAGAGTGAATACTCGTTTATTGAAGAGCCTGATCCCAGCCTCAGTAATACCAGAAAATTCTGTGGTTACAGCTGTGTCTTGGCTCTGTACCAACAAATCCTCAGGCAGCATCCAGGTAACTTAGTAAGTGCTGACAATAGTTATTGCTTCTGCACAGGAATGATAAGACCAGGTTATTTTCAGGGAGCAAAAATCCCGAGGGTTTAACGTACATGGTCTTACACAATATACTGTCATTCACCAAGAATGGCAGAGACACCCATTGCTGGAACAGCAGCAGGAACCAAGAAGCATTTTATAAGTGTGAGTGGAAAGTTGCACAGTTCCTGCTTGGCTTGAGTCTGTGAAGTCCTCAGGAATGGTTTCTCCACCACCATTTCTGTGAAGTACTGCTGTGTGAGGCATTCTTCAACTTCAGCAAGGTATCCCTTAGGTTATGTGTACTTTGGTCATGACAACGTGGCTTAATGTTAGCAAAAGTTTGTTTTGGTGTTCACATAGTCTGCTCAAAGGTTTACATCATAGAACCACAGAATTTATTTCCATCGTAAAATCATTGAGGTTAGAAAAGATTTTTAAGACCATAGAGTCCAACCATGTGTTGCCAAGTCCACCGTGAAACCGTGGTCCTAAGTGCCACACCTGAACATCTTTTAAATACCTCTAGGGATGGTAGTTCAACCACTTCCTTTGGTATCCTGTGCCAGTGCTTGGCCACCCTTTTGGTGTGGAAATTTTTCCTAATACCCAGTCTAAGCCTCCCCTGGCACAACTTGATGCTGTTTCTTCTTGTCCTATCACTTGTTGCTTGGGAGAAGAGACTGACTCCTACCTCACTTCAGCCTCCTTCCAGGGTGTTGTAGAGTGCAATGAGGTCATCCCTGAGCTCCCTTTTCTCCAGGTTGAGCTCCCCCAGCTCCCTCAGCTGCTCCTCTTAAGATTTGTGCTCCAGACCCTTCCCCAGCTTTGTTGCTCTGCTTTGGATGCTTTCCAGCACCTCAATCCACTCCTTGGTGAGGGGACAACACATATTCAGAAGTGTTTGTTTCCCATACTTCATGCATTGGTGTACAGGCACTTCAGCAAGGTGTTGGAGTGTGCCTGTTTCCCAGGAGGGCTGCAAGAGGACACCCTTGGCAGGCTTTCTTCCACAGCTGAATTATCTCTGAGCTGTTGTTCTTCTGAAACTCCCTGGTTGTCCTTGTGAGTGGTTTGTATCCTTACTGATTGTGTCTCTGGAGTTGGCTACTGACTACTTTTCTTTGCTTTTGCCCATCACTTAAGGTAATAATGGCTTTTTTCCTGCCTGCAGTTGCTTTTTTTAAGGTGGCTGATCACAGTGTTTGACTTCATTGATCGCAAGGAACAAGTTAATGCCCTCTATGGTTTCTTCTTCTCCTTCCTGCAAGATGAGAAGCTGGTAAGGAGAGATGAAGAACATATGGAATTGACAAAATAAAACCAAGTGTTCATTAGTGTATTAATGCTGGAATTAGTCTGGTTTTTTAGAGAGAATTTTCTAATGGCTAGAACTTTTCTCTTTTTTTTTTTTTTTCATTTGCATTATAAGGTTGCTGGGTAATTTAGATCCCTAAACAGGGAAGTACTGTAGGGTTGCTGTGGTCTGACTGTTTAAACAAGAATTGCTATTCTGTGTCACACAGAGGTTGGGGATATATTCTGTCTAAATTCCCAAGATTAACTGTGGTACTGCAGTCTGTGGGATTGTCAGACAACAGCAGGTAAAGTCTCCTGCTCCTGGGAAGAAACTGGCTTGTATACCTTGGGCAAAAAGAAAAAAAAAACAAACTTTTAGAGCAGTGTTTATTTAAGGGTGATGTTCTATTTAATGGAGTTGAAATGTAACTTAAATGAGAACAAGCATTCAGGAAATTTCTGCTATGTGGCAACTGTAAAATCCAGGTACTGGAATTTTGAAATGTTTGGATTCAGTGCATATTGAAATGATCTTGGCAGTCATGTTAGATATGAAATTGTTAATATTCTTTCAGTTTAGGATATTTTGTGGTTAAGTTCCCCAAATTCTGAGTTATATGGTTTGTAAAGTTGTTAATGGGTTTAGATTAACTTTAGTTATAATCTTTTCATAAAACTGGATTCAAGTTCCTACGATTTAAAATAGCATTTTGAGGCATGATGGGTCAGTTGAGAAGTTCACCAAGAGTTGGTGTGAAACTAATTTAAAGCTCTTTTACAGCCTCAGCTGTAAATAGAAGCTCTAAAACAGTATGTTGGTTCAAAGGTGCCTTTCTTTTTGAAAGTATCATTGTACTTTTACCTCTGACTCCTGAAATTTCTAGACCATCTTCCAAAAGACACCATCCAAGCTTGTTGAATAGCTTGGTTACTGCCAGATAAAGTTTCGAAATGAAAGGGACATAAGAGACTGGAAAAACCAGGCTGCTTCCTAAGGGAAGTGAGGTGTGCTCTGCCCTGGGGGGGCTGCAGGGATGGCTTGAGGCAGCCAGTGGAGTGACACAACAGTGTCCTGTGAAGCCTGTGTGGTTTCTGTGTGTCCTCCAGCAGCAGGAGGGTTCATTGCTGCCTTTGTCTTGCAGTGCCCCTACGTCTGCCACGTGCTCTACCTGCTGACCAGGAAAGAAAATGGTGAGTCTCTCAGCTATAAGAGCTGGAATTCCATTTTGTTTCTGATTCTGTTTGCTGGTACTGCCTTTTCTTCCAATGCAGCCACTGCACTGGTAAGCCAATATAGTGCTTTTAAGGCAAGGAAGCACGAGTGATAGTTCAGGCAAAAATTTGTGTAACACTTTCTGAACTAGAAACCTGTCTGTTAGCCTAGAAATAAGAGTGATTGGTTCTGTTTGCTTTGTCATGACTTCATGATAAAAGTGATACTGCATTTTTGCTCAGATGTCTGATACAGTGTTTTTTAAATTCTCTATATTATTGATTGTATTTCCAGTCAAGCCTTTTCGGGTTAGGAGACTGCTTGACCTCCAAGCAAAAATGGTGAGTTTATTTCAATTCTTGCAGAGTTTGAACTGTGGTTAATAATGCACTTTGTAAGACTAATACCCTTACAGGATGGAGAAGAGTGACTGGACTTGGAATTGTAGGTTGTAGTCTTTGTAACATCAAAGCTCGTCTCTCTTGCATGTGCATCCCTAATTTTCACGTGTGTTTTGTGAACTCTTGCAATGATATGCACAAAGCTCTTTGTTTTAGAGCCAGGTGTGCTGAAATCTCTGAAGCAAAGGGCAGCTTCATTTATCTATTGCAGTCCTTAATTTTGTATTCATCTTCCTTTTGCAAGTGGTATAAAAAATGACTGAAAAATATAAGATTGTAGAGGGTCTTGCTCTTTTTTGTAAGAAAAAACGTGCTGTAACATGTTTTTTAGACAGCAGAAAGACTATTTTTCATAGTTTTGATTGCTAAATTACTTTTTTTTTAGTTATGCTCTTTCTTCAATCCCCTTCCTATGGTGTTTCATTGACACAGTTTCTGTTCTTTCAGTTATTCATCTGTGCTTACTCACTGATATGTAGCTCTAGAAATTTAGCTTTTACTCATCACTGGGTTTTTTTGCTTCTAAAATACAGTATTGAGTTTCTGTATAAAAAACATACCCCACATTTTCCCTCTTGTTCTGCTATTTGACAGGGAATGCAGCCTCACCTGCAGGCTCTACTATCACTTTACAAACTCTTCTGTCCAGAACTGGTGACCATAACTCTTCCCACAAAAACAAAGGTAAGGAATTAGATTTAGTCTATTTGGAACCAGTACTTATGATAGTGTTTGTACTGAGCTTTGCATTTAAACTAGAGCATGATTTAGTGGTGAAGATGAATTCTATTTCCTCTTCAATGATTAAAATTAGTATAATGTATACTTGAGATTTAATCTATGAATTGATGATTGATTTGAATGAAGATTATAAGACAGAAGTGTTTTATCCCTTTTGAAAAAGAACATAATTTCAGAAGGAAATAAAAGCCCACTACAGTTGAACTGTAGTCAAAATGTGATGAAACTGAAGAGTGATAAGAGTTCTGTGCTGTGAAAATCTGTCAAGGAGGTTGTCTCTACATCACTGTGATGCTGTTTATCAGAATAGAAACTGATCTTTCTGTTGCTTTGTCTTAGTTTGGCTTCTTGCACAGATGTCTGATTTCTGTTTCCAGACTTACTTCAAGAGTTCAGAAGGCCCATGGAAAGCAGCAATGAATGCAGTAAGGCAAAGAAACCAGGGAAGCACTCCCCTGACCCAGGCAGTGTTTTTAGGCACAGCTCAACCTCAGTCACGAAAGAGGGTATGTTATGGGCCTAAGGTAGACCCTAGAAGGTGCCAAGCAGCATTTTTCATTATGAATATTGGTAAATAATGGGAGTCTGGCTTTATTTCAGCGCTGGGAAAGGTGGAGTACCTATTCAGAAATGCAGCATTCCCACTATAATGAAAGCCTGGATACGTTTTTTTGTAAAACAGGGTCTTTCTGGGAACACTGTTCATGAGTGCACTCAATTGCATTGGAAGCAGAGTCATTGCTATGCATTTTCTACAGAAATGGAATACTCAGTTGGTTCTACCTGCGAGCAGTGCAAGGAATTCAGAAGTGGGCACGGAAAAGTACAGTGATTTGTTCAGTACAGATGAGACTTTTCCAGTGGAGCAGCTGCAGACCTTTCCTCAGCTCCTACAAAATATCCACCGTCTAGAGGTGAGCTTCAAGAAGGTCTTGAAAAGCTGAATGAATGTTTTGAGAGATCAAAGGATATTCCTTTACTCCTTGTTTATGTGTGAATGATGTGTGGGCTACCTGGTTCTAACACAGCATCTGACCCAACTGAGGGTGATGAGTTCTGGAGATGGTCTTGTTACTGGTAAAAGGATTGGACAGCTCTGATAGAAGGAGATTCTCTGGCAGTTTACTGGTTTAAGTACTGAATAATTCTATTCTTTTCTTTGATTTCTCTTGCAGTTTCCTTCCCAGATGGGTTCAGTGCTAACAAACCCTTTATTACTTCACTACATGAATTGTGTCAGAGATGAATCTATTTACCTGAGGCTCTACTATTGGATGGGCCAGATGCTCCAGGAAGGTAGGAAACTCAGTATTATCCTGCCATGCTAGGGAGGTAAAGGATGTCTGAGGGCTCTCATTTTTTAGTAATGGTACTTTGCTATTCAGATTTGTAGTGACAATCATATGATGTTAAAGCAAATACTGGAAGAGAACCGAAATTGGTTTCTCTTTATGTTTTTTCTTGCTGTGCTTGTATTCCAATACAATATTCTCTCCTGTTTAGAATGTACCTGGTGTGTGGTTGATAACACAAATGAAACAGAATTCAAGAGCTTCCTGGAAACTATCTACAAGGCAGAATGTTTTTTGCAGGTAAGTGCATGTTTTGTGGAAACTAAGGGTTTCACAAAGTCTTCCCTTAAAGAACTTCTGGGACTTACCAGTGTCCTGAGGAGTGACAGTGTCTCAAGTAATAAAAATACCTATGCCCATGGAAAGTCAATATTCTGGAAATGGCCTTGTTTTCTGCAGGAAAAATAATTTGAGAATGATAATTTGGATGTCCTGGCAAATTGTATGGCAGGAAGGAGGTGTCAGACTCTTTTTTTCCTTCAGGGTGAAGTGAGCATGGCAAGGGGCAGGCATATGAGGTGAGTTTCTGAATGTTCCTCTTCTGCTTTGTAGGAGGGATTTCCTGCCTGTGAAGAGTTCCTCTATAAGAGCCTTCCTCTCTGGGATGGCTCCAGCTGCCGACCAGAAATCCTCAAACTTGTGAGTTGGATCCCCCTCAGCAGTTCCCCTGGTATGTGTTGCAGATCCTTTGGGTGAGGTTGGACACCGGGGATATCTCGGGGGATAGAATTTGTTCACCAGTATCATACTGCTTTCTCATTTGTTTCAGAAATTAAGTCATATGTCTATGGTCCCCTGGCACAGCTCTTTTTCACATCATCCCTTTACTTCAAGGTAATTTGAGTGAATACAATGGCTGTTTACTTCTGGTTGATACTGCTCTCTGCACTTGTGTTGGGTGTAGCAGACTAAGGGATTGTATAGGAAAGTTCTTTTGGGGAAGTCTGTGTCCAAATGAGGGTAAAATATATACTTACAACTTAACTTCTTTAGGAGTATGAGTGCCTTAAAGATATCTTCTTTTTTGACTGGGACATTGGAAATAAAAAGAACTGACTGTACACAAGATAATTGTTTCTTTTATTGTAATTTTAACTCGGTATTTGAAACTTGCATTCTCCAGGAAAAGCTCTGTAACACATACATTCAGTTCTAGGGGATGTGCAATTATCTCACTGCTCCTGTTGGTCCTGAGAAATTCTTGGTACCTTTCCTTGTATATGTCAGTTCTCAAGGTGTTTTTTGTTTAGTACTACTTGCTTACATAAATTGTTATCAGCCTGATTTCTTTTTGCCTCTTGCAGTGCAGTGTCCTTGAGAGCCTGAAGGAGCTGCTGGAGAACTGGCTAAATTGCAATGTGATTGATATGGATCCAGAGTTTCATTCTTTGTAAGTTTGTCATAAAAAAAATGCAAACCATGTTGTTTGCATTGCTCACCAGTGCATTTAGATATATATTCTAGCTCTATGACCCAGCATGAAGACCAGCTAGAAGGTTAATAACACTGTTATGATTCTGCTATATTGTAAGCTGCCTTGTCAGTCTTGTTCTTTGTCTTTAAAAGTACTTCTGTTGACGCTGAAAGTTGAAATGCCCAGAATTCAAAATCCTCCTAAGGCTGACGGCTGGTTCATGTTTGTAATGGTGTTGATAACAATGTTACTGGCTGTATTGAAGAACAAGTGTCTGTTGCTGAGTGTTGGGTGGGGCAAAAGCACAAACTTCAGTTTCTTTTCACTACTTTTCCCTGTTGCCCTTTGCGAGGAGGTGTAGTACTAATGTTGTGCTGTGTCATTGCTGCAGGAATACCACCCTTTCTGGACTAGTGACCGTGGTGGCTGACCTGATCCACTTTGTTGGACGGCTGTCTACTGTTGGACTGCGTTTGGAAAAGAATTCCACGTTATTGCTCTTCTTCATCCTGGATTTCTATGAGACTGTGTGTATCTCAATCATTTTGGCTTTCTTTTGAAATTCTCCAAGGCTGTTTGTATTTTTTTAACCTAGAGCATAAAAACATCTTCCTCATTATAGTTTACAGAACTTTGTGGTTAAAAGCAAGAATAGTCCAAATAACCGTTACTTTGGCAGTAACAATCAGCCCAGATGTGCTTCATTCCTGCAGGTGTGTGACATGTACCTGAAGTACAACCTGCCTTTGTTGATATTGCCTCCTGCTGGGGTTTTCTACCCAGCACTGCTCAGCATGGATTCTGTCACCTTGAATCAGCTCTGCTACATCATGTACAGGTACTACAGCAACTGTGGGCTGCAGGGTCTCCTTGTCTTCTCTTTCAATCTTCTGGGAATGAAATTACTTTAGTGTAAAATCTGAAATCTACTTTTTCTTACGATGCAAGGCAAAGGTGAAAGTTCTGCTCGTGCCCAGCTTTCATGATTCAGGATTTTATAGCTGTAGTTACTATTCTTTTTTTTTTCCAGTCTGTTGCCCAAAATAGCAGGATTCTGACTTCTTTCCCAGAATTATTTCTGTATCTTTGATATGTGGAGAGGAAGAAGTTCCCATATTGTTTTCAGAGAACTTAAGCCAGCCAGCTGGAATCACAAGTAGTAACTACAACTTCTTACTCCTATGCTTTGACCACTAAACTTGAGCTTTTCCTTACAAATTCTGTCATGTGCTGAGTAGGAACCACTTCTGCCACCTCCAGACTCTGTGGCAATTTGGGACTGCCTTGTGCTGCTGGCAAGTCCAAAGACAGCACTGTTTAATGCTCTGCAGGATCCACCAAGGCTGTGGTTCGTGGCCTTGTTACTTCCAGTGGCTGCATCTGAGGAGAAGAGTAGCCAATAGCTGACAGCTGGTGCAGGGCTTTCCATGTGGCTTTTTCTCTAAGGAATCTGCAGGGTAATTAACATGACAGGATGGTCTTGAGGAAATAAGAGGAGCTAGTGCTTATTATATAGAACAACTGTCAAGTTGCATTACTTCCAGTGGCTTCTGTTTCTTTGCTCAGTGAATGAAAGTCTGCCTTCTTAAAAACACACTGAGTTTTTCTGCTGATTTTAAGGCTGAATGTCCATTCTTGCATGTTGCCTTTATGAAAGTGACTGTCCCAGGGAAACCAGTCATGTCTGAATCATTTAAGAGATTAATATTATCAGATGTGTCCCTACTCTACCTAGAAAGAGTGGGCCTATGCCAACTGATAAAGTCCCTTTGAATTCTTTTTCATGTTTCTCTTTTTTTTATCAATAAAGTTTGATCTCTCTTGTGGCAGGAATAAGTTTTCTTAATACGTTCCTCCAGCTTTTTTGAATAGAGGCATGTAAAAATTTACAGGCTCCCAACTTTCTCTTATGTTTATTTTGTTTGGGTTTTTTTTTTTTTTTTGGGTTTTTTTTTTTTTTTTTTTTAGGTATCGAACCAACTTGGTGGCTGCAAAAGAAAATGAGGAGAGTAAAAAGGTATTGTA